ACCTGGTGTTTTCACCGAGAGTAGGTTCATAGAAACCATTAAGTGACTTTCCTCTAACCATATTTAATTTGGTCGAATTCACCCACCGAATCATAATAGGCTCATCATATAAAAAAGGGTAAATTACGGCCACCCGAGTTATAGTCAAATTACGAAACACTCTCCTTCTTTTTAAATAATTACAGCCACCCCCTCAACTATGTGTTACCTCACGAAAAAAACCCCTCACGAGGTAAATTTGAGGATGTTAAATCGATAAAATCGAACCGAAATTTCAGTACGCCAACATTTCATACCGTTTACCGAACTGAATATACAATTTAGTACGACAAATAACCGAATTACATAAATTTTATGTAAAAATATTTAAAAGAAGGAGGAGATTGTAATTACCAAAGGTTTTTGTTTTTTTTTTTTTTTTTAATTTGATCATTCCTCAAGGGCTGGCCATAACTTGCCCTATAAACTACACACATTTGATTCTATAATAACAATGATCTAGCTTAAATTCACTTCTAATTCAATTTGGGAGAAATTTCTCCTCATCACCCATGTCACACATCCTCCAAATATGCTGGGATGGAAAACATAAAAAAAAATACTTAAAAAAAAAAAAACACATAGATGAATTATATACACATCAAACCAAAAAAAAAAAAAATGGTTGAACCATCTCTAACTCTAAGCCATCACCATGGCATTGTCATCTATGCTAAATGCACCCGAAACGGCATTTTCTTTAGTTACCAAATCTTCTATTCTATCATTGTTGGCCGAATTCGGCACAAAATCTTTCGATATCAAGCCAATTGAAGCCAAGGCCAAAAGCTCCGACTCGTCGAGCCCTTTTGCCGGGCCAAGACTACACCGATCAGTGCCATGTTTGGCCAATGCATCTTTGAATTTCTTGATCTGCATCATATGTAGGATTAAACATATTACTAAAATATAGAACAAAAAAAAATCAAGAATAATAATACAAAAGAAAATTAAAAAATACGAACAATCGAGCAATCAGTTACTTACAGTAGCATTAGTACAACTGAAGCTACAAGCTTTGCCCTCAGCACCTCTATAGAATCTAAAGAAGGGCAAAACATGTACATTGAGAGCATAACACATTGCCTTATGCTGATCATAATTAATCTTGAGAAACTGAGCATTCGGGTTTGTTTCAGCCAGTTGAGAGATCTGTCGTTAAATAATATCGGTTAGTTTTTGAAACATGAGGGACCAAATGTGGAATTAGAGCAAACTTGAGGGATGAAAACTGTATATTTCCCAAAAAAAATTAAAAAAAATTGGGGATAAAGTAATTAATACCTTAGGATGCAAAGATTTACAACCACCACAGCCAGGTGAATAGAAATCTAGTACAACCAATTTATCACCGGCATTCGGCAAGAAATCGACAAGCTGTTGGGCTGATTGGATCTCAATCATGTTTGTCTGAAGGGATTTTTCCCACCATTTTAGACCTTTGTTACTAACTAATGGTTGTGCCTGAAAAAAATTCACCAAGAAGAGTAAAAACAGAGTACATAAAAATGAGAAGGGCAAAATGGTAAAAAAAAATGTATATATACTTACAGTGATGGGATCGAATTTTGGGGGTGCAATTTCTAGGTTTTTTGTCCAAAAGTCAGTGAAATTTGATTCTTTAAATTGAAGAGTGTCGATTGGAGCACAAACCCTAGGAGGCAATTTTGCTCTGTTCTTGAATGTAATGTCGGTGGACCCATTTACAGAAAACCCAGTTTTCAATGGACAATACATTTCTTCAAGATTTCAACTTTTCCTTAAAAACCCAAACAAAAACCTACTAAAGGGAATATTTATATATGTATATATATATATATATATATATGTATGTATGTATGTATATCCTCTGTTTTTTTTAGGATCAAGAACCCTTCTTTTTTTCTTCTTGTCTTTAATAAACAAAACTGAATCACGAGAAAAAGATACAAGATACAAGGGGAAGAAATTGAGGGTTTGTGTGGGTTTGTCTTGTTGAAGCTTTTCAGAGAGAGAAAAAGTGGAGAGAGAGAGAGAGAGAGAGATGGTGAAGAAATGTGGATAAATGGGGGAATCTTAAAAAGGTATAAAAATAGGGCTAAATTGGAAGTGAGGTGAAAAAGATTTGGTCTTATCCAAATGTTCGTTCCTTCGAATTTCTATTTTTTCCATGTTCACTTAAAGAATTTGATGTTACCTATGACTAAGGTGTGGATAAAAAAAAAAATAATAATTTCATATGAATCAAGTTGTGGATAAATCATAATAAAAGATTATTAATTTCAGATAAAGTATTTGGTGGGGTTGTGCGGGTTTGGTGGCATGTAAACAGGAGGGTTATTTAATCTTGTTATTTGGATTTTGAAGCCTATATTATCGAGGTTTCTTGGACCCTACACCTGGTGATAACCATTAGGTGGATCTTCTGTTGTCATGTGTTACTTTTTTTATTTTTCTAAAATCCCTAAAGGCTAAAGGTAAACCCTAACAGGGAATCTATTATAAAATACAAAAAAGAGACACGTGGCAGCAGAAGACCCACTCGGTGTTTATCACCGGGTGTAGGGTCGAACAAATCTATTATCGAGGTGGTACTTACTACTTGCGACTTGCGAGCATTTCATGTTTTACACTACGATTACTGAGTACTGAGTCACTGACCACCGACACTTGTGCATAAGAATTGGATAAGCAAAAAACGTAAGACAATTTTGCCCTTTTCTTAAACGGGAAATTAGCTGAAAGCTCCTATAAAAATTATTCTATAGCTATAATAAGCCCACACGGATTTTGTCTTTTTGTTTAAAGTTTTTATGCCCTTTGTGTTCTGGATCTTACGCTAGATCTGGACGAAATTGCTTATGAAAACTAACAGTAACGGTAACGGTGATAAGCAACAATTTAGTTAAAATACATTGAAAAAAAGAGTAAAACAAGAATATATGTATCTCATAACATATATACAACTTGCACAGACAGCTTAGAGACCTTATTTATAGAGTTTAATTACATTTATGATAAATTTTTAGAAAAAAACACTTATTTCATATAATTATACTAAGAAGTTAGACAACTTAGAATTTTTTTTGCATAAGTTAGTTACACAACTTAGTGAAGTAAAAAACTTAAATCTCTTATGCGTACATCACCATCAAAATTACCATCTGCCATCACCAAACAATTTTTCATATTTTTTTTTGTTTCCATAATTATCAGGTTACAGCGGAGAGGAATAATAGTAACCAAAATCTTATGTATGGGTGTGTGTGTGATTGCGTATGTTTGTATGCATGTGTGGCACAGCTTCGACGATGACATCGATGGTGAGAATAAATGGAGCAGATTTAACAGAGTGCAACAGGGTTGGACGAATTTGACGAAATGCGGTTAATTAGTTAGACTGAATGAAGACGAGAGTAAAGAACAAGTGACTATTAGCAAATTACAAAATATCGAATATCCTGATCTGAAAGAGTATTACCTTTAGAGATTTTTTGTTATAGTGATATATTATAGATACCATTTAAAAAGTATCTCTTAAATTACATTCCTATATTCCATCTATGTATCATATGTTATCATGCAATATTCTTTTGATTGCAAAACTTTATATTTAGGTAGAAGT